TCACCCTAATGGGGAAGCCAAAAGGAAATGGGAAGATTCCCGACAAAGGAATGGAAATAGACAAGCTGCAGGTGAACAAAGGAGGGAAAGGGAAGCCGTGTACAAGCCAGCAATTGAGTGGTTCTACTCAGTAATCAATTTGTCAGTTTGATTTTAAGACACAGCAGAAGAGATCGATAATTCTTTCCAGCAGCATAATGGACATCGAGGGCTTGGAGCGTTTTGATCATCAAAGTCCTTATTACAGGGATCAGCCCAGTGCTTACTCAGCAAGTGGGGGTGCTTCTGCATCTGGCATGTCAGAGATGGGCAGGGAAAGAGAGCAGAGCAGGGAAAGGTGGAAAAACGTGTCCTAAAATGACACTTGGACAGACTGCTCAGAAAGATGTGGGGAAGGGAATGCTCACAGACAGACCCCTGTGGGACTGAAAACTGACAGCATGACCCAAAAGCAGAGGGGAGTTTTGTCAATGCTCTTATTTCCTAAGGAGGCATTGTTCATCTTTGTTCTGCTGTGGAGATCCAGACTGAGCGATTCCTGTTCGCACAGGAGTCAATGAGTCCCTTTATCTGTAGTGCACTTGGGCAAATAGAGAGTGCTTAGTGGGTATATAACGGCACGGAATCCAAACGTTGCCATTTATCACCTGCTTTGTACTGAATTAAATCACTACATGAAATGCACTGAAGAATCAAACCTTTATTGTTTTGGTGGTGAAAGGATTGGGTCCCAGAATTACATCAGTTGTTTTCTCTAAACAGCTATTAGCCTCCTCCATTATATCAACAGAACTGGTTTCCATCCTCTGGCTCATTTATTCCAAACCAGCATTATTGAAGTGAATGGGGTCTAGGCCCTGGATATTAGAAGAGCTGTTGGTCTACTCATAAATTACAAGTTGTCAAGGATTTTAATGGAAACCCTCAGAGTGCTGTAAATCTGTGCAGTTCTGCCTGCATCCCCTCCCTCATTTCCATCACAATATCACTCCGGTGGGACTGCAGCGTGCAGCATGTGCCAGGCAGCCTAGATTGGTGGGACACAGGGGAAGGAAGGGGGGGAATAAAGCTGGAGATGGGCTGGGGGGTTCAGAACAGTTGGCACTGCAGAAGCATCTGCTGGGTGGCCGGGTTTGGAGTCACCTGGCTTATTCAGCGTGGCAAGGGGAAAGGGTTATTCATCGGGGGGGGGGGCTGGAGAGGGGAGTGACAGAGCCAGGGATGCTTGTGGAATAGGGACGGATGTATTGCAGTTTACATGTCGCTCCGTTGGTCTGTGAAGCAGTAAATCTCAGCAAGTAGAGGGTTTTGTTGGGTTTTGTTAGGTTTTGATCACATTCTAAGTTCTGCAGAGACCATCTCTTGCTGTTAGGCAAAGATTTTCTTTTAAACTTCCTAGCCAGTCCAAACTACGTTGAGGGAACATTGGACACTGTGTCCTGATCCAAACAGCAATGTTTCTGTAGCTCACTGGATCTGGCCAGAAACAGGGTTACTACAGATACGCCCCTTGACTTAGTTGCCTCCCAACTCATAGCACAGCACATGCTGCATGCAACACTAAAGCCTTTTAGGAGCTCACTCATCCTCTGCTGGCTGTAGGATATTATGGAATATATTGTGATCAGAACAGCCATGCTTGTGCCACCCCACCAGGGAAGCAGACAGGACTGCACAGGGGTCTGTTTAAGAGCCCATGTGGACCCTCTGCCTTTTGAGGCACCAGAGCTCATGAAAACTTGGGTGCAAGATCAGTTTAGGCTTAAATCAAGGCTTGCACCCTGCTTTAGCATGGAATAGAAGTAAAAGATTACATTGGTGATAGAGCTTCTACCAGCTTCAAAGCACCCAGGCTTGTAGTCTTATACAAATACTAGTCTGGCACTGAGAGTCTCAAATACAGCAAAGCCATCAGCAGCACAGATCCTAAATTAATGATGTTAAACATAGTCCCTTTCACATTACAACCTCATGTGACAAGCTCTGAAGAATGAGGCCTTACAAGACTTATGTTCTAATTAAATATCACCCCTGTGTTACAGACAGGGAAACAGTTATGCAGCCATGAAGGAATTTGGCCAAAGTCAGTCCAAAAAATCTGTGGCATAATCCCCCTTTCCCTCGCCAGATTTAACATTCATTTTGAGAAAGGCTGAACAGCAGAACTGAGCCAGGATGGAGGAAAAATGGACGGCTGCCAAAAGGGATTGATGCCCTTCAGGCTCCAGGGAGTTTTTAACCCTTCGCAATGGTGTTCCCGGCCTGTGAAACCTGGTGGGGTTCATCAGGCTGTACTTCTCCTCTACTGATCCATAAGACATTCGCCAGTGGGAGCAGCTGCTTCGAGAGCGAGCTGATAACTGGAGCCCTGAGGCACTTACATCTGGACGTCTCGTCCCCTGCCTGCTTCCCTTCCCCACGTGCAGGATGAGACTCGAATATTGCCTGCGCTTTTATAACGTGTATTCCTCTGGGGCCTTGCTCCTGATTACGGCATCTAAATGCAAGCAGAAACAAACAGCGACAATGAGAAGGACAAACAAAGGTGGTCAGCCTGCAGGTTCCGACCGCTTTGTACACTGCATTTGGTTCCATTTCGTAAGAAGCTGCAGTTTCAGGAGCCACAGAGTGTGCTTAATTCCTTTTTTAATAACAGATATAACATTTTTGAGAGCAGCTGCTCCACATGTTATGTAGCGCAGCCGAGAGCCATATGGATTTTTAATTCCCAGGAGTTATTACGTAGTTGTAGCAGCACAGACAAACCCACGCTTGCCTTAATGGAGTCATTAGACTTGACAATCCTTCCTTAAAAAGGGCTATTGTTTGGCTAGATCGGATCCAACAAACATAGGAAAGGTTGGAAAGATGGGTTCTTCATCTTATAAAACAGAGAACATTGGGGGGTTTAGGCAGCTCAGTGGTTTCTCTGCCTTCAGGAAATTGCTTCTCTGTTAGTACAAGATGATTTTAGTGACCTCGGTTCTGTCCTTTCTGAAGTACAAATCCAAAATGTGCCTGGAGATGTTGGCACTGCTTTACACTGGTGGGGTTTTAACGAATGGGGACACTCAGCCTCTCTTGCAATGCTCTGAAAGGCACAAATCCTCCACAAATACTCGAGTTACAGCCCTCAAACCCATCTTGGAAGAGACATTCACTTGGAAAGAGCTATTAAATCATATTTCTTAGGGAACTGTTATAAGATAACCATGAGATTCTTGCCCTTGAGCCTAAAACACGTGGTCCAACAAGAAACAGGATAAAGCAGATGCAGGACCCTGAATGCAAACGTCTTTAATCCCAGTAAAACACTAAACCACCCAAACAATCCTTGTGTTGAGAAGCAGCAGAAGAGAAAAACAAGCTGCTTTAACGCCGAGGCTGCATCTCCCTGTACATCACTTGAATGCATTGCAATGAGTACACTACAGATTGCTCAAATAAATCTGAGGCACTCCCTGGATCTTTAGTTCTATGGAAAATGTTGGAAACCCCTTAACCTTCTGGCACGGATGGGGACTGTAAAAATGGAAAATGAATGCTAGTAAATCTGCTGCTGGCTGCCATGGGAATGGAGCAGGTTCCTTTAAAGGACCCACGATCACAGAAAGCAAAGGGGATCCGAGCTTTTTTGTGTGCGTGTCGAACAATTAGCTTCCACCAACCTTCTCCATTGCTCGCCGCCGCGGTCTGTTTCCATGGCAGCAGGAACTGAATCCCTACAAGTGTTGCGGATCCTGGATGTAAATGGCGCTGCCCATTGTGTCAGCAGCACTCGCAGAGCTGGGAGGCTCATTCCAGCTTCGCAGAGCCGGTCATTTCCTTGTGTTATTATCCAGGTTGGATCAGTGTTGTGGTGCTGTACAGGTGTAAGACAAGGTTGTTGCTGTTAGCCCAGAGCTCGGGTGGCATGGGCACCCAGCTGCACAGGGGCATGGAATCCTGGAATGGTTTGGGATGAAGGGACCTTAAAGCTCCTCCAGCTCCAACCCCTGCCACGGGCAGGGACCCCTTCCACTGGAGCAGCTTGCTCCAAGCCCCTGTGTCCAACCTGGCCTTGAGCACTGCCAGGGATGGGGCAGCCACAGCTTCTCTGGGCACCCTGTGCCAGCGCCTCAGCACCCTCACAGGGAAGAGCTTCTGCCTAAGAGCTCAGCTCAGTCTCCCCTCTGGCAGGTTCAAGCCATTCCCCTTGGCCTGTCCCTACAGGCCCTTGTCCCAAGCCCCTCTCCAGGTTCCCTGCAGCCCCTTCAGCCACTGGAGCTGCTCTGAGGTCTCACAACAAGGGCTGCTGCCTCAACCGGAGTCCTGATGGGGAGCTCCCATCGCTGTTGCGGGATCACATTCGGCTCTACCGAGAACTCTGCTCTGGCTCTCACACCCTCTCTCCTGCTGCCCCCAAACCCCAGCCCGGTGCTGCCCGGCTCCCCACGGGATCACTGCGGAAGGGAACGGGGCCCTTGCGGCGAGGCCGGGGCTGCAGCAACGGGACCCGCCTCGCCTCAGAGCCGCCTCCCAGGAGCCCTCGCGCAGCCCTCATGAATATGCAAATCACCCCGTTCTCGCAGCTGTGATTGGCTGGGGCTGTTCAAACCAGGCCACGCCCCCCTTGCCAGGGCGCGGCCGTTACCAAGCCGTTAATTTGGGGGCAGCGGCTGCTGGGGCCGGGCGGGGATGGAGCCGCGTCCCGGTGTCCGTCCCTGCCGGTGCCTCCGCTTTGTGGGCGCCCCCCGGCTCTGCAGGGTGCGAGCTCTGCTCGTTGCAGGTCGGTGGTTGAGGGGGGATGGCGGCTCCTGCCAAGCCCTGTGTGCTGAGCGCAGGGGAGACCTGGGAAAGGTGCCTCGGCAGCGGCAGTGGGTCCGTCAGCTCCTGTGGGGCCTGCTCCCCGCACAGAACGGGCCGTGCCTGGTGCCCTTGGATGGGGAAAACCAAAGGAATTGTGGTGGAGCCGATGCCTAAATGGGTAATAAATTCATATTCGTGCAGGGGTCACAGCATCGCTTCAGCTGGCACTTGAGTTGTTTGAAATCAAAAGGTCTAGTGTCCACGCGTTGTGTTTTGCTCACATTTGGCTGCCTGGCCTGGAATCCCCCTGCTGATGCAGTGTGCGCAGCCAGCCCTTAGCCAGAGCAGTGCTTTATTGGCCCTGGAGTGTGTCCCCTTGTTGTTGTAACACTTGCTCTTTGCGAGCGTGTGCTAGCCTTGATGTTTAATCTTTGTGAAGCAGTAGCTTGTGAGCATCAGACGTATTTCTCTCATAATGACTGAAGTTAGGCAAGAAGTCAAAACTTAATATGCCTGTGAGCTCTTGCCAGTGTTTTCTGGATTCATGCCTTAAGAGAGGAACACGAAGGACGGCTCGAGTGGCTCCAATCCAAATAAAGCATTATTCAGAGCTGCACTCCAGGAATCGTTGTTTTCCACCACTCAGAGCTATCAGTGGAGCTGGTTGTTCTCACAGTTATTTCTAGCTGGGGTGAAGCTTCTGAAACAGTAAGCACTCCTGGGTTTATGTGGTGGTCTGTTATGACTAATTCTCCAGATTATCATCTACAGCAGGCAGTTTGTAAATCATCCATCCAGGGAGCAATTGATAGCCAAGGCCTAATGGAATGGCGATTCCACATCTCCCTCTGAGCCCAAACGGAGACTTGGAAATTACAGAGCTTCCTTCTCTTAAACTGCTGTTGCTCTGTGATGCAGTACATGGAGTGGTGAGCTTCTGAGGAGCAGGAGACAGGGGTGAACAGAGTGAGTACAGCATCAACGGGTCAGTTAGTGGCAATGGGAAATAATCAAGTGCTTGTGAGTGGGCTGTATGGGTGTGATGATCCCTTTATTGTTCTTTTGGAATCAAGAAGGTGCAAGCAAATGTTTGTTTATGGCGCTTTTATTTTTCTCCCTGGACTTCTTTCTCTGGAAAATCAGACACTTCCCTGGAAGCAGGGAGACCTACAGGAAGTATTTGCTGGCTAGAAACAGAGTGGTGAAGCTCTTCCCAAAAGAATCCAGCTTGTTTCTTGGTGTCTTCCTGCAGACTAAGCCCTTCTTTTAAAGCCTGACTTTCTTCTCGGCACGATTATTTTTTGGCTGTTAGATTCACATTCTGTGATTTGCATGCCCAAAGGGGCCAACTTTCAGCATCTTAAAAGCCTCTTCTGAATTCTAGGCAAAGATTAATCTGCTGGGCTGGAGGAAAGCGAGTAGTTTTCTCTGGTTGAATTTAGTGCTGGAAAAGAAATCAGAGAAAAAAAAGCAGTTATCATTTAAAGCTTTTCTAAGCGCAGAGGACTGAAGGAAATTAATTTTACAATATTCTTACAATATTCTATTTGCTGTTCCAGTTACATTTTTGCAAGGTTCTTGGAGTAGTTTGAAAACCTATGCCTAGGAAATCTACACTAGAAAGCAGTTTTAATGCAGTTCTTTCATAACTATTGTAGTGTCCCTCTGTGCCATTTCCCTCCTCGTCGTTAGGACAGTTTGTAGCCCAGTAACTGATGAAGGAAACAGAAGACTTGTCTCTGTAAACTGGCCTCTGGCTGTCAGGGCACGGGCATCTTCACCACCCAAGCTGAGAAGGACATGAAACCTGGGCAGGATGTGATCTGCCAGCTCTACATCTCAAGGGTAATCCCCCCATTCCTCGTTTCAAGATCGCTGCTTTGTCACTGAGCTGGTGCTTTAATATCCAGTTTAGCCTTGCCCTGACGTGGTCACTCAGCCAGAAATAGCATTCACTGGTCATTTGCTTCAGATTCATCTCTGTCAAAAGGATTCATTGCTGACAAAAGAAAAATGTCTACTTTACATGTTATTCTGTAAACTCGTGTTCAGAAATGGCTTGTAATATTTTGAGACAGAATCACCTTGACAAGAATTCAGGGCATTCAGAATGAATGAATGGAAGAAGGAAAACTTTATCCCTCATCAGTGAAAAAGCACTTAAAGGATACTCATTTTTCATGAGTCCCATTAAGCCCTATTGTCTTGTTCCAAACAAGAGTCTCACCAAAGTGGTTTTGATTGGCACTTTTAAGTAACATCCTTAATGAAGTCTAATATAAAAACTTCAATAAGCCTCCAGTTGCTTGGACTTCCAATAATTTGAGGAGCAAAACCATGATTCACTTCAGTTTATTGTTGACCTTTGGACACACTATATTTTATGGTCTAAATTTGTTTGACTTTGCATTTGACCTCATTGTTATTTTTCAGGGAATGTTCCTAGGAATGAATGAAAGTCTATGAATGACTGAAAAAAAATATAAGAGGTGGAAGGGAGGACACTTGGAGCCTCTGGCTTGGAGAAAAGAAAGGTAGGAAATGAGCTCCTCTTTAGTGGGATATTGGGAAGACTGGCCCACAGGCTCCTTTTCTGTTGTTAATGTTTCATTTCTTCAAACATTTACCCTTGAAGTGAACTTCAAACACTCACTGAGCTGTACAGAAACCAGCTACAGCCTTAAATGAAGTGGAGAACCTGTCACTGCTTTGTGTAGTGCAGACCCAGGCTCTAGTTTGATCAGTGTTAGGGACACACACCCCAGAAAGAGACATTTACAGTACCTTTCCCAGCTCAGTGCCAGATAAAACTGTGGCAGAATTAGATCTGTCATAGCAGGGACCTCAGCTAGGCTTGTCACCTTTGCAATAGCTATTAATGATTTACCAGTGTTGTTCATGTGTTTCAAGCAAGTTTAGAAGCAAATTGGCTTCATATCCTCTTTCCCAGCCTTTTATTCTTGGTAGACGTAAGTTTGATCTGGGGATTTATGTGCTGGTGACATCCCGTGACCCTCTGAGGATGTTTGTCTATAAGGAGGGCCTTCCACTTTTTGCTACTTCAGCATCCTCTGACCTTTTGCACAATAGCTTGGTAAGTAAACAAGCCTATTAGCAGAAGTTAATGACAGTTCAATACACAGCAACCAGAGATAGAGAGAAATCCTAATGGTTCCACTGTCCAAAGCATCTTTCTCTGGAGAATCCCTAAGCACTTCATAAATACCAGTCATTCATCTTTGTAGTATCTGAGTGCCATAAATACAATTATGCGTGAAATATTTGAGCAGATTCTCTAGTAGAATGCACCATGTGTTATATTATCCAGATCAGTGCTGCATACAAGTTTTGGCACAGTTAGTACTTCTATAAATACATACCTAATTAACTTTATGTACTAGTCTGGTACTGTTTTTCATGAAGCATTATTATGGCAAAAAGATTGTTACAAGACAGAGAAATCTTGGAAGGGGAAAAGGCCTAAGTGCAAAGATACTTTGGTTTACTTCTTTCTGAAAAGAAGTGGTGGCTTAGTTGGTGGCTGGCAAAGGTTCTGGTATGCAGTTCTGAATCATTTCAACACAGAATTAGCTCTCCTAATAAGTGCTTGTAGAATGGGGCCTGACTGGGAAAGAGGGTTATCTTCCATTGAAACTGCTGATTTCTCAGAAGTGATGGAATTGGAATGCTGATGAGATTGCAGTGAAGTGAAATTGAAACTGTTGAGCCTCATTTATTGGGTTCTTTAAAGTAATGGGATCAGTATAGGGCTGATCATATTTAGTGCCATTAAATCTTCTGTGCTTAATTAAGATGCTTTGTACATGAGGCAGTGTGACCAGGATCATGTAGAGAAGAAGGGAGGAGGCTAATACCTTTCTAACCCTGCATCTTGTTCATTCATTTACAGGGTAATGTATGCATGCATCTGACAAATTATTCCATTAACAAGAACAGAGTTAATTCTGCCAGAGAAAAAGACATTGGAAGTAAGAGGTAAAAGGAGAGAACATTTCTGAGCTACTCCCAGAGGGGGTAGTGTTTACCTTTTCTTGTACATCTTCATAGGCTCAGTGTATTTCAGAGCATTTTTTGTGTTTCCCCAAAGTGCTGCCTGACTTCTTGTTGAATAAATCAACTGAAGAAACTCAGATGAGAAACAGAGCTGGACACCAGAATTGGGAAGGAAACTCCACAGAGGGAAGTTTGTACTCCAGCTCAGCAGCATGCATTTCAGTTTTTGTCTTGAGATAAAATGTTTGCCTGCTCTTCCTAAGGACACTGATTTGTCTAACAAGATGTTATCACTCTCCAAACTTTGCCTGTAATCTTAGCTCATCATGCTGTAGCAACCCTACATCCTCACTGTATTTGTTATCTTTGTCAGCTGTGATAGGCAGATTTACAGTAGTTTACTTAGACACATATTTCCTCTTGCAGTATTTCTTGTATCTTATTTTCTTGTAAATAAACCAGCTGTAGTGCTGTGATTGTGCAAGGCAACAACTCCTGTGAGGTGATCCATGAGTCAAGTGCAGGAACAGGCTGCCCAGGGCAGAGGTGGAGTCACCATCCCTAAAGGGCTTGGGGGCATGGGTTGGTGGTGGCCTTGGCAGTGCTGGGTTAACAATTCGACTTGATCTTAAACGGCTTTTTTTCTTTACACTTTGCTAAATCCTTTCTCATGCTAGGAAATGGGATTGCTCTAAAGCAGTAATTGAGCAATAGAAGTTTCCAGAATGAACACAGTTACAATGATATAAAGAAGCTGTAGGCAGATTGTTGCAATATTAGGGTAGAAATACACCAGTTCAGTTAGATTTGTTATCAAAGGTTCCAGTATTCCTCCCTTTCCAGGACACCCTGAACCAGCTGTGAGCAGAGATGTGGCTGTGATACCAGCCAGATGTGGCTGCTTATAGCAGATGTTATTATCAAATTGAGGATAACAGTACATGCTATTATGAAACATAACAATCACATCTGCTCCCCCATTACACCAGGGTAGTGCTCATTTTGAAATATGCAGGTTTGATATTATCCTGAATCACAAATCCAAGCCGCAGTTGCTTGAGGACCCTAATAAATCTCTCCTCGATCCTGCAGCATGGTCATGGATAAACTGATCTGTTGAGGGGGGTTTTCAGCCTGTGGGTTGCTATCATCAAGCTCTTTTTTACCACCCCTTTTGTGTTCTGGCTCTCGACGGGGTCTCGGAGCTGGGCGGCTGGTGGGTGGCCGGCAGAGGGGGACAGACTACACCGAATCGGTGAGAAACGGTGATTGTGCTGTCGGACACAGGCGGGGAGCGCTGCCTGCAGGAGTTCTCGCTTTGGCGGGCACCTCGCTCCAGTTCCGTGCACACAGAAGCATTTTGGAGTTATCCATCACCCTCGGTGGGAGTTACTTGGTAACGGAAGGGGCAGGCTTTCTCAGAGCGCAGCGAGTTAATACCGGTTCCTCCTCTACTACTCCCAGCACATACAAGCTTTGTATCAATTCTGCATTCAACCTGAGGCTGTAATTTCAACCTGTGTTACTTGTTTCCCTCTTTGCAGTATATACAAAATGCACTGGCACCACTCTTAACAAGCAGAGAAAAAGGCCATTTCCCCAGCTTCAGTGACTTGTTTTTAACACAAACCATGTTAAAACCAGAAGCAAAACTCAGGATTTCCTGTGTTACCTCCGACCTTAGATGCTGGGATCAAACCTAGTGCATCCCCTGGCCTTGCTTCACACATCTCTGTAAGGTTTATTTAACTTCCTAATGCACCATCCAGACCGTGTTCAAAACATCCAGTTGTGTAGCAATTCAGTTTATATGCACTTTGAGGCAGGTAGGTGAGGGATCTTTGAGGAAGGTCTCTCTCAGTTGTTTCTTGGCAGCCCTAGTAATAAAGGCAGCAGGGCCAGACACAGAGCCCCATTAGTGGACTCTGCTTTCTGCAAGAGATCCCATGCAAAGGGATAAACTGGGCTCACAGTTCCTCCTGTAGCATTTCCTGGAGCCATGCAGTGCAAACACAGTTCAACTCTCAGCAAGTTTGGGTGCTTGAAATTACCCAAGAGATCATGCAGTATGTGGTTATCACCCTGCAACAGATCAGAGTCAGATTAGAGAGTAGTAAACACTCAAGGGACTAGATTCACAGTATTTTTCCTGTTCTTCAATTCCAGACCTCTAAAAACTGCTCTCCTTATGAAAATATTAAATAGCTTATGGCAGCAGCATACTAGTTACTTGATGCAAAGAAACAAAATGTGTCCTAAGTTATAAACACTGGAAGATACAAATAAATGTGAAGACAAAGGAAGAAGAGGAACTAGGTGGTAATATCTGTCTGTCCAAGACCTCTCACCTTTCAGAAGTATTCTACAAATAGTAGCTGCTAACCAGCGAGGAGTAAGTCACATTCAGTGAAAAATGGGGCCTTTCAGTGGGCCCCATCACTTGAGAGATTTGATTTCCCCCTGTACTAAGGAGAGATGTGAGTTAGTCACCAAGTGATTTTTTTCTTCCTCTGACTCAGCATTTTATCCTCAGTATCCCATTTATAGATGTGAAGGCAAAACATTGAAAGAGCAAAAGATTCCTAATTTGAATTTGAAGGTGATTTAGGAATGAAGGATTGAGCACTGCAAAGAGGGGGATCGATTGGCTTTGTGTGCTAGATGATTAATCAGCAATATTCAGCTTATGATAACTGCCTCAGAAATGATGCATTGACTTGATAGAAGGGAAAACCTTGACAAGGAAGGTCCTAGCTTATGCTTTGGCCATCGTGTTGTTACTGGAGACAATCCAGGATAAATCTACTGCCAGGCAGAGGATTTTCAGGATCTGTTTGCCAAGTTGTTCTGCAGTCCCAGGCCCAGGTTTAACAGCATCTGTGGGAGGAGCACCACAGGCTGGTGGGGAAGGGTGGGCTTTCTCCTATTGGAAGGTTTTGGTGTGCTTCCAAAGCAGGTATCTGTTCTGCTACCTTACTGTGGGCAAAAGTTCTCTGGACTGAACCTCAGCTGACCAGCTGAGTGCTGGCACCACATCTTGAACATTTTCTCTTCACAGGGCAAGATATATGTAAAGCAAACCTGTACATTTATGACTCTCCATAAGACTGTAAAGAGCAGAAATAGAAATCTATTACTGTGGTATAGCAAAGCCTGGCTTCTCAGGCTCTTGAAGAGTAAAGGACTGAAAGGAAGAGGCTGAAAAGAGGAACACCAACTGTGATCTTGTAAGTCTGGGGGCTTGGCAGGGCTCCTTGTTTGTATTGCTCCATCGAGAGTCATTAATTTTGCACTTAACCCTGTTAATAGAACTCTCAGCTATGCACAGATATGCCCTTCCTTGGCCAAGTTTTTATCTGATTAGAGGCAAAAAGACTCTAATGTGTCTGACAAATTGCTTCATTGAATGAAGCGGTTTCTTTTTCAAGCTCCATTTCAGAAAATGTACATTTATATACTATATGTTAACAAAATTGTAGTTAAGGAGGCACTATCCCTCCTCCAGTATGGACTTGGAGCATCTACCTCAAAAACTGCAGTATTTGAGGCTGTTGTTTCAGGTTTTCTCTACCAGCAATAGTACAAAGACAGTTCAGTTCCTCATTCTGCCTGATCTTCATCCTTGTGTCCGGACCTTACCACTGTTAACTATGCTGGTTCAGTGTTCAGCACTCAGAGTTTGGACTTCACTGTGGAATTCCATTAGAAAAATGCTGCTGTTTTGTTATTTTCAACAAAAGCACTTTCCAGATGTGCTACAGCCCCTACTCCATCAGTGAAGGGCAGAGGGGGGCAGTCTCTGCGGGAAGATGGGCAATGAGCAGCTGACTGAGGAAGGGATGAAAAGCTCTGGCCCCGCAGAACAGCAACATGAAACAAAATTTAAAGGTAACCAGTGACTCATCCTCACTGGGTTTAGCTCATTTTTGACAGTAGCCAGTTTTGTTACAGATTAAGCTGATGCTCTTTGTTTCACCAACCTCAGCATGTTGCACCAAGGATGAATTCAGTCCATGCCATCAATCTGATTTTGAATCAGCTCCTGATACAAGCTATTTCCCCTCTGAGACAGATGTGTCTGTGTTAAGGAAGGTAACTCCAATGCAGGACACCAATAAAACATTAATCTTTTCATAGATTTTAATAGAAGTTTTTTGGTAGAAACTAAGCTACCTGCTCCAAGACTCTTCCTATGTAAAAATACAGTACAGTGTACATCACTGGAAACTAACCTGACATGCAGTTAATCAGGCCACAGCAGGAGAATTATTTGAGTCTGGGAAGGGGTCAGGAATAGCCTCCTTGCTCTTTTTCCAGGATCTGGGCTCTCAGTGCAGAGGCTTGCTACTGCAGGATACCCACAGAGTGGAAGGCAGAGGGATCTCTGAGCTGAAAGGAGATCTGCTTGCAGGTGGAAGGAGAAATTCCAGGTTTTCCAGAGACCTAAATACTGGAAGAATAATTGAGGAGAAAGGATAAGCACCCATTCAGCACAATAGCGAAAGGTTGAGGGGCAGCAGTCAAGGCAGGTAGTACCTCTTTCTTTTATCCTTCATCCCTTATTTCTGGAACCAAACATACATAGAGAAATTAAGTGTGGCATGTTAGAAACGCTGTACAAAACATCGCTATGGACTGGGACAATATGGTTATAGCAGCAGTATTGCGGATAGGTAAACTGAGGCACCGAGCTTGTTGCTAGTCAGCACAGATGATAATCTGTGTCACTGGACCTCTCTGGAACTTCCTCTGTAACCCACAGATCAAGGAACAGAATCAAATCTTGTTCTCTCCAATATGGAGTAGATCATTTTGTCAGCTTGGTTTTGGCTCCTGCTTGGCACAGGCTTGGAACTAACATTAAAGCCAGCCTTTAGGGCCTTCAGGTCTTACTGACTCTGGGATACAGCGTGAGAGCCCATATCATCCCTTTCTACAGCCTTGTTCTGACCATCTCTGAGTGGACAGTGAACCTCCATGGTGCTGTCAGATATATTCAAGCCATCCATCACCTCTTGCCTTTTAATTCTGAAAAGTGAATTTCATTGAGCTATTATTTTTCTACATCATCTATTTCAATAGCAGCATTGCAATAAAAGAGGATCTATGTCTCCAAAAGGAAGCTGCTGAGCTGTACAGTTCTTCATTGTCCTGTGGCAATATGGAAAAAGAAAAGGATACAGACCTAATGCTTTCCTTTTGGGGGTTTAATTGTGGTACAGTTTAGGTATTGAAATGGCTGGATTTATACCTGTAGTCATGAAACAGCAAAGCGAAGCAGCTCATTTCAGGTTTTGAAAGTTCTTCAGTGCTCTGTGTGTGGCCCTAACCAGGGAGTTAGGACAGGATGGGTTATCCTTGGGAGCAGCTGCACTGGGAATGCACCTTTTATTTAACAGTTTAAATGGAAGCAGGTC